CATCAGATTTCCAATTATTCCAATCGCTTCAAAACTTTTTAAGTGGCAAAACATATCCAAAATGAAACCTCTATATATTTTTCTTAAAAAAACAATTAATTTTTATCGATCCCATGTTGAAAATTTGCACACTAAATGGCAAAAGGTTGTTGATAATAAGGGTGACTACATTTTATTCATTAAAAATAAAAACTAGTTAAAAATCTATGTGTTTGAATTCAGTGTAAGACAATTAAATTACTTTCCGCTCCCCCTAATACATATCAACATATTTTTTAAAAAATGGCCCCAGAAGAAAATAACAATGTCAACTTATTTTCTGTTTCTGTAATTGAAATGGAATGTTGAAGTGCAGAATAATAAAATATAATTCTAATAATTTATTTAATAATATAAAATTTTATTTTTTAAAACATTACCTCTAGCAATTATATTTAATATAAAAACATTTCAACGGAAGTTAAGAAGCTAAAATTATGTAATTCAATTATTATTTCTATACCATAATGAAGAAATTGAGTAAGAGAAGAACCAACCCAAGCAAAAACATTCTTAATTTTTTTATTTAAATTAACATGATGATAAAATATTCAGCTATTGACACCTATAAGTTATCGAGTCTAAATAGATACAACAAGAACTTTGTTGTATACTTTGTCATATTACTTATTATGAACATAATAATATTATTAATTTGACATTTAGCAATAATAAAAAAAACATGTATTATAGCTACATATTCAATTTTATAAAACTGAATTATAATCTCTTCTTAATAATACTTAATCCTAAAGGTGCAGGAAAGTACTAGGCTATATTCTCAGGAATGTCATGTTTACATGTATTTATAAAAAATACACAAAGTAAACATTAGGACCTATATCTTACATATAAATAAATTAATATTGATTTTTGATTCAATACAAACACTTCTTATAACCACCCTATTGTGTCATGCCTTATATCAAATAAGGAAACTTCTAAGAAGCATTTTACTAATGCATGTATATGGGATCAAGGAAATTCAGCATTTTTAATATTAGAACTACAATCCTCAGTAATTACTTATTTCTTCAAGGGTAGTTGTTTCTTAAGATGGGAAAAATAATACAATGTATATTTGCCATTTCCTGACTACTTACCAATAACATTTAAAACTCAACAGTTTAAATTTTTTTCACATTAAAAAAATTATGTTAATGGACAGTAATAAAAATGAAGAAGATTGATGGTCTAACAAAGAGAACAGAAGATAGAAGCCATTTTGTAAATTAAAATGGCTTACAAATAGATGCAACTGAATACAAATGAACTGAATGTGAGGACTTCTATTGAATATGAAACGCAAACAAAAACATATCAAATCAATCCAAAACTCTATTGTTAATCTAGAATTATTTGATATTGTACTTGAAAGACAACAATAAGTAGACAACTTAAGGAAGAACCTCCTAGTGCATATGCCCTAATTTGAGGGAGAAAACCATTAACCCCTCTATGATGTCTGCACCCCTGGGCAATGATGGAGTTTTTTCCAAAACATCTCTATTTATTTCTTAAGCTATTTTATATTATGTATTATTTAAATTATATTTCATTAAATATGTCTCTATTGAGTTTCTTAATATTAATAGGTCAATACTATTCATTTTGATAGGCTTTGTTATTTTATTCATCATTCCTAACAAGTGGCACCTCGTGATTGTCGCACCTGAACAGACATCCATGCAGGTCTGCACCTCCAGCCAATCACCCGGCCCTAAGGTCAGCGATTCAGCTGTATAAAGTTATATAGAGGGAAAGGTTTCTCCTCTTTTAGCACAATCTTCTGGTCTATACTCTTCAAGTCGTATGCCTATATATGAAACCATTTTTATCTGCTACATTCAACAAAGTGCAAGGAATATTCAGATTCCTAAACTGTTGGTAAAATAAACAGCTGCAAACTAGTTATAGAGGGAGGAACAAGACAAACTAATAGTCTTATTGGGCTTAATCAATACCTTGGTATTATAATAGTCTGTTAATTTGGAAGTAATAAAACACAAACAGTTTTAAATACAAGTTATCAGAGCAGTTTTTACTTTAAAACAGAGATATTTAAAATATGATCCAACAAAGTTCTTTTGATTGCATGATAAAATATATGAAATTTATTAATCACTCATATATAAGGTTACTAAGGCTACTACAACATTGATAGGATAAGTTGTTTCTTTTAGAAAACTCATTTCAGGACTTAGTGGAGGTCTAAATATGGATCATTAAACATCAATCTTAAAACATTAGTACAAGGTATAATTATATTGCATTATTCTCTTTCTCCCTCCCCTCTGAATATCACTAATATGGCACAACCAATAGGTAAATGGGCGATTGAACCTTTCAAGAAATATTAATGCATATGTTTCACGGCACTAACAATTTTCTACTAAACCAAACAATTTTCTTAAAAGAATTGCTTAAAAATATTAAATTTAAATATTGCATTTCCTTGTCTGGAAATCAATAGGAATTTTGAAACTTCACAATCTCCAAAAAAATATTACAATGAAAACAGCAGACTGGCAGTTCGACCAATGTTGCCAATTGAGTAAATGCTTAAAAAGAGATAACAATAAACAAAGTTGTAGGAAAGGTGATGTAAAACAAGAATTAAAAGATGACTGAATTTTAGAATTCGTAAAGATAAAGTATAGAATAAAATTACAATTAATAATTATAAAATAGTGATAGATCTATTTTTATTTAGAATATTATTTCTCAAAATTTCTTTAAAATTTGTGAACTTAATATCTGCTGTGTCAAAGACATTGTGGATTGGAGAGCTCTGTCAAAAAAAAAGAAAATAAACAATCCCCTTTATACTAGTATTTTAATGTAAAATTATAAAATATGGGTAGACTTGTACAGAAATCAGTTTCCCATAATTGGCATCTCAGGCAAATTAATCAGAGTATGAACCATTAACAAAATATATGACTATCAAAATAGATTAAGATGACATAATATTCATCTGAATTCTGAATCTTCATATATAGCACTTAGAACATAATTGAATCATGAGGTAGTTCTTGGTTCAATATTTTTTCTGTAACCTTAAATTATACTTTAATATCAATAAGTTTAGGTCAAGCTATCGAATCCAGTTCAATCACAGTGGGAGAACAATTTTTAGCTTTGCTATTGATAACAAATTAAAGCTCTGACATCATTTCTTTCAATCTCAAGCTCTTTAATTGGTAATAAGACAATTGACATGGTTACCTGCTATGAGATCTTTATCCACATCTTTGAATATTATTTTAGGCATCTCTAAATCTTAACAGAGGATCGATGATAACTATCCTAATTATCTAATGATAATCTCTCTTACAGCTATTATGGATACTTTTTAAAATTAATTTATACGACATAAAATATACAAATAAAATGGGATTCAAAAAGGGCAAGTTAATTCAAAGTAAGATCTTTGTAAGTTAGAACTAATATAATCATTTATGGTCTGAGTTATCAGACATCTATTTTTTTACTTTCTCTTACCTATATATGAAATATATACTAAATTTTATAAATTTATATATTTTATATATGAAATGATTGTAAATTTTCTAATCTGAATTTTCAACGGAAATAAACGTTTTGAGATCCCATGAGTCCAAATAACCAAGTCTCACAAAATGGTATGTTTGTGAATAGTCTAGCTCTAAAACAAAAATATTTGTATGAAACGAAATTGAAATACGTATTTAAGACAGGTATATACCTGGGATTTTCAGAGTATATACCTGTATGAAGTAAATTTCTGGGGAGCAATCTTTTCGTCAAAATCGGCTAAGCCAGAGGTGGCACTTTATATCAACGATTCAACACATTTATACAATTTTCTCAAAAACTAATGTTTTCGATTAAACTCGATGTATCAATTTATAATTAAGTTGTCCTTAATATCATTTAGGTCTAAATCCCATAACTCCATTTTGTAAATTTTACAATGGAAAAATAAAAGTTTAACAACTTATAGTAGTGGACTCCATAATCATATATTGGTTTAATCGTTGGAACCACGTTAAAGTAACGAATGTTAACCTGCCCAACGTTTCACATTCGTTACTTTTACAAGGTGCCAACGAAATATAAAAATGTACTTTCAAATCTCTCTATGCATATATAGCTCACAGACTGGAGCTATGTGGTTTACAAAAACAGATGGTGTTACAAGGTTTTTATTGCATACCATCGATATAATAAATAGGGTTTTTGTTATTTTAATGGTCTTGCTGATTTGTTAGCTGTAAGGTTTAAGCTTTAACTCATTTAAAAATGCACTTCAAACATTTTTTTAACAGTCTAACATAGTCAGAAAATAATTTCTACTCTAAGTAGAACTGTAAGTGAAAGTTGTGGTAAACCAGATTTTTTGTTTTATTAAACTTATATTTCATCAACATTGTTATATTAAGTCCAACTCCAGATCTGTTTTAAGAGTTCTGATACATCCTACTTCAGCCAAAAACACAATAATATAATGTAGTTTACTATTAAACGTATGTAACTAATGACTTTTCTAATCAACTTGCTTTCAAAGGAGATGAAATCGCTAAGCAAATACTCAGGCAGGCAGCTGAATCATATTTTTTTACCTCAGTATCAAAAAATGTCTTACATTCAACTCATTGAATCATTGAATATTCTATACACTGCTTAAATAGAAACATTTTATTGAAAATAATTAACTAATCCTAAAGTCTAGTAAAAGTAAACTATCAAATAAATAATAATATTTTAGCTATAAATGGTGCTAAATAAAGAGAGCCTGTATCATTTTTACCAATTTTATGCTTTTTTTAAAGTCTTTTTTGAACCATTGTAACATTTTCCTTATTACATTTGAATTCAAATTTATTTCTTTAAAGATAGTAAGTAGAAAAGAGAAATAAAACAGAGGACAAATATTTGGACAAATAGAACGAAGATATTGAAACATAAAACTTGTAACAACCACAACGATTCAAAGACAAGATAAATTTTTCTAAAACATCAAATCATGGATTGACTTTAGACATTGACTTGACCATTAATTATTAAGTTAGTATCTATACAATACAATTATCAGGAACGATGTATTGTCAAAAAGCTTACATGCGCATAAGAGCTAGTGGTCATAATAATTAACAATAACTGTTTTCAGGAATCATCTTTAACTCCCTCTTCGGTATCTAACTCATTATTACATTGACGGTCAACTCTCTGCAAAAAAAATATATATATATAATCTTTGAAAATTAAAACATAATAAATGGGAGAGGAGCTAATAGTGATAATTAAAATATATAATTTTTAAGCTTGAGACAATAAATTAAATCTGATGAATTTTTATTTCATGAACTACTTTGCGTAATTATTTATAACGGATATATTGGGATTTCAATAGATTTTTCTCAGCCAGATTTGAACTAGAAGATTCCATCTATAAGTAAATTTGGGAAGAAATTAAACTTAATTCAATGGGTTTTGATCAATGCTTTAGGCAGTTCCTGTTACCAGTTAATGGCAAGGAGGATTCACGCAAATATGAAGATGAAAGATTTTAGGAACAGACTTATATATTCAAAGAATTTTGGAAGTAACTTGAAGGCATTAAAAGAGCTAATTGTATACAGTACAGTGTCATTTTTATTTGGTAAATAAAGAGTTATTTATTTTATTGTTTTGTGATAATAAATTACTTTTACATAAATCAGAAATAAAATAAACTTTTGTGCTCTATACTATTTATTTTCATCCTTCCCTTATATTTCGATAATATGGGATTGTAAGTTTATAGTACAAAACAAAACAAATTTTTTAAACATTTAATTAGAAATTCATCATTACCTTTAATTTTAGACAGTCAGACATAATTTTCATTTCTATTATGCCCACAATTTTGTGTACTATACAACTTTTTTTTCTTTGTAATACTGGAGCGATGAACTGAAGTACAACTTCAATGGATAGGCCAGACTATGATATCAGACATTTACCACTCTAATGCCAGTGTACCAAAATGCAATAAAACCAATTTAATACAATTTTTTATTTCAAAAAGCAAACTGACTTTAACTTATATTTTGACTTATTTACATTATACTGCTATATCACATTACTAATAAAACTATTTGTTATACTAAACAATAATTCAAATAGGTATTTAGGCCTAAGTACAAATAAAAAACAGTTACCATTACTATTAAGAATCAGACAATCTTACCTTTGCATGAGGAAACCTCCCATAAAGATAGATCAGGTAAATAAACAGAGACAAAGTAAATATTGATGGTATGAATGCAGTACATTTCATAATTAATGGGTAACCCATATAACGTGAATTCATTTTCATATCCTCTGTAAATATAAATGTACCAGATATATATATATAGATTTTATGAATATTGTATATAATCATAAAAGTTTTCATTTAAATAAAAATAGTCCTTATTACCATAATAATATGGAAGTTTGGTGGTTTCATTAATTTTTGATCTTGACTCCCATGTCCAAAGACTTACATTTTCTGTTTGTAAAATAGTTTGATCTTGAACAGTATGGATTTTATTATTGGGACCTATGGAAAATGAACATAGGTTAAAATCAAGAGGAAAAGCTGTTATGAGTTAATAGAGTGAAAAAAATCAAAAAGAGTCACACATTCTGTGTATTTGTACAAGTCCTGTGTAACTGATACACACACTTCCACAGATGGATCTACGGGAGGGAGGAGAGCTTTCGGACTGAAGCTTCCCTCCACAAAATGGTAAAATATAACCATGTTTTATGAAAAAAAATTATCTCTAAAAGTATTATTGCTCATCTAATGACATTTAATAGGACTTCAAGAATCACTTAAACACCATTTAATATAGGTAGTTAGTTTCTTTCTTTCTTCCGAAGTAATTATCCTAATACATACATACAAAAAAAAAAAATCTTTCAGGCTAAAGCCCCCCAAAATTAAACCTGGATCCAATAGTGCACACGTCTAAGTATTACTTTGTCAGCATGGGTTTAAATGTCTTAGAAAGATGTACCATTCTAGCTAGAAACTATTTGCAAAATAAAGTTTTTGGATGTTGATCAACTAGACTGGAACGGAAATCATTCTAGAAACATTAATGCCTGATGAGTAGACACCAATGAAGCTCATCATTGAAAACATGTAGGAAGCAACTGCATTGGACCATTAATAATTTGATGGGCAGTAGCTGTGCAGGCTATTTAGTAAAAAAAAAAAAAAAACAAAAAAAAAAAAGAAAGAAAGAAAGAAACTATATCTCCACTAGACACCAATTAGTTGAATAAGGAAAATTCAACACAAAGGTATGAAGACTACAGCCAAAATGTTTTACATGCTGGTTGTGATAAATCAGATCTTACTGACAGTTCCACAGCCTACAGTATAAATTCTAAAAATAGACTGTATGAGCATTGCAAACTACAAATAATTGACAGGTAACTGTCAAAGATTCAAGTGTCAAATCATAGGTTCATTTTATAAAATTTATAATTGCCCATAGTAGTTGTATTGAGGAACTAATTGCTTTTCTCAAAGTCTAACAAACTTGGATTCACATTGATTTTATTTCATTCAAATTCATTATTATCAAACCAATTTAAAACAAATAAAATATATATTTTTTTATCATGTTAAAAGGTTACTAGCATAATTAATAGATGGTGTATAAAAGAGTGAGCTACAAAGTTTATTTTGCTTACCAACATACTGTCCAAATTTATGAGGAGTGTAAAATATTTGATTTTTCCACATATTTAAATCTAACATCATAACCATGAATATAACACCATAGCTAAACCACTTTCCTGTAAAAGAAAATATCAATAAAATTTTAAATTAAATTATTTTCGGAACACAAGAAGAGAATAATATTGTTTTTATTTTGTACAAAAATATATTGTTTTGTTTTAGCCATACTTTTTTATAATTAGTGAGTTATTAAAAACATAAACTGAATGGTAAGATAACAAAAAATATAATATAAAAATGTATAATGTAATAATTTCAACATAAAAATAATATAATAATATGTGAATATTACAAAAATATAGAATGATACAAATGAGACTGAAATAATATAATGGGCACAAATCAATATATCTATTATTTTTAGAAACAACTAACCTCCAGAGTGTTTACTCTAAAACAAAGGTCATTTACAGATGGTAAAGGAGCGATGACTAAGGGGTCTGCAAGGTTTTCACCTTCCATACCTTGCAATAAAATCAAAAGCTTCTACTTTTTTGGGGAGTTTTAATTTAAAATGTTAGGCAATGTTAAGTAAATAAGGTAGACCCATGTTTGTATATGGAATAAGTGTTTTAATTCAAGGAATAATTTTTACATAATAATTTCAAAGAATAAAGGGCTGGCAATAGCAAGAGTGTACAGAGGGGAGGAGCAGGGCTTTTGGGCTGAAGTCCTTCCAAAATGAAAAAAATATAACCATGTCTTTTGAAAAATAAAAAATGAAAAGCTTTGGGGCTGAAGCTTCCCAAATTAAAAACTGAATCCTGAGCTATTGATAATAGCTTTTTAGGAGAGAAGAAATTGTTATGATTTTTAGGATTTAAAATGTCCTTGTCACTGAAAATTTGTTGTAGAAGACCAATGCTCCAACTGATATTTGGATGCTGGCAGCTCTTTGGGATGATAGAGCTCCAAACCATATAATTTCTGGCATTAGAAATTTGGAGTTGTGCCCACTTCATTCTTGATTTGTTGGATTTATAAATGAATCTATAATTTTTCTCACCAGTAAGGGTAAGTTCAGCATATTTCCATTCCAGCGTAGAGACGGAGAATCCAGGAAGATTAATATGAACTGTTGTAGTGAAATGAGGAAAATCCCAATCCTGCATCATAATAACCAGATCCAGAACAAGTATAAACGAAGCCAAAAATGCTCGAGATAATTCTAAAACAATCAGAACAAATGAAGTAAGATTAAACTAGTAAAAAGCAGTTGAAGGGATTGGAACAACATAAATAAGAGGCTATATCAATCATTTCTTAAACTACTTGATAAATACACAATATATTTCCTTAATTTATAAATTTATTAAATATTTTTTAATATCCTCTTTGGTAAGTTGTGTGCAGTTACACAACTGCTATTGGCATTGCTGTGCCAAAGTCCTTCAAGATCAGAGAATTGTAAATTGTACAGTTAACCAGGAATGCCCATCCTCCCCCCTGATCCCAAGGCATTCCTTCATCCACCCCTCCTAAGATATTTTATTCATCTTTATTTATTATTGATAACATCAATAGAAAAGAAACGGCAGAGGTGAGAAAAAAGTTAAGATCCCAAATGGTAATTCTCCAACATCAACTCAATTCAAGTTTCATCCTTCTAGATTTATTAGAAAGGGCATTAAAGATACACAAAACCAGTAAAAGTGGCAGGCATGGGGAGAAAAGTTGAGAATTCCAAAAGGATTTTTTCTAGTACCAATTCAAATCTCATAGGAAATTTCAACCCTCTAACTCTATTTCGAGTGAGAATTGACGAGAACCCCATCAAATGGAAAAATATTATTCTTCAGGATATAAAAATGGAACCGGCGATGGATAACACCAAAAGTTTCCACTTTGAGGAACCATCCAATCAAGTTTAGAAGCAACGTGGATTCTCTTAAACTACTGGCTTTTGCAATTTTTAACAGTTCATAGGGCTGCAGTGTTTTGGAAACTACTTATTACATCGTAGTCAACTGCATTGCTTTTGAAGTACTAAAGGATAAATTAATGAGGGAGATCGGCCTCAAAGTCTTCAGAGGGGACGATTTTCCTTAGTTAGTCACTGATGAAAAAATACCTGCACGACACAGATTTTGTGTAAGGGTGGAAAGCCGTAATGGGTCCAGCATTCTTTAATCACACAGGAAGAGGAGTAGCTTCTAGAAGACCATTGGAATGCGGAAGCAATGAAGAAAAACTGACTCAAGACAGATGAAAAAATTAAGCTTTAGTGAAACTTTTTTTACTTAAAAAAAATATTTAAACCAAATCGAACTACTAGAAACACCTAAATTACTTAAAAGACACGATGGTGTTTAATAAATGAAATAAAAATAAATCTATGAGGAGGAACTATAGTAGAACGGCAAACCTTACAAAGTCATTTACAGACTTTTTTTTTTTTTATTTCTTAATGACATTTACAACTGTATTAAATAAATACATCTAATAAATTTGAACATATGGATATAATGACATGAAAACACTTGCTGAGAAACTACCCAATGGTAGCACTATAATGATATGTCTACATCAGGAGATCAAGGGGCCATCTTCTTTTCAGACGCCTCGGAGGATTATCAGGAATTGAAGAGGAAGCAAGGTTAGAAACGAGAGGGTTGGGATGATTCTGAAGTTTATTATGGAAGGATAGGTATCTGGATTGGGCCAGATCTGAAACATAAGGAACATTAAGATCTTTATGGATAATTTTATTAGTGACAAAGTAAGGAGCATTGAGGATTTTACGAAGAATTTTGGATTGTAAGGATTGGATGCGAGAGGAATTCGATGGTTTAGTGGAGCCCCATAGCTCAACTCCGTAAGTCCAAGTAGGCCTTATTATAGTCAAGTATATGAGTCTTTTGTAATTAATTGGAAGTTTAGAAAGTTTGTCTAGTAAGTGCTGAAGTAATCGGAAACGTCGAGCGGTTTCTTGTCGTTTCAGTCTAGTATTTTGCAGACTTAAAACAGCTCTATTGGATTAACATCCATGAATTTTATTATATTTAATAATGGTATTGTATATTTGTTATGACTTTGTATAAATAACTCGGGAGCCTCTCCGGTCTCATTTTGTCCAACCCTCTCTCGAGGACGGGGTGCTTTATCTAAGTCCAAAGTCCAGATGCTTGACTAAGCAAACGTACTCGTCCTCACTTGCTCTGCCGACTTTGCCGAAGAACATCTCGCAGCTAACCACAGAGAGGACACAGCCCTTTCGGCTACACAACAGAAGAAGTCAGCGAGGACGGCAAGGATGTGCCTAGGAGACAGCGGCGGCACAGGAGAGAGGTAACTACGGAACTGAGACTGGTCCCTCTCAAAAAATGGAATGACCATTAATAGTTAATACACTAACAAATTAAAATTAATGCCCCTTCAGGGAGATTAATTTGGAATAAAATAAAAGTGAAATAAATAATTAAAAGTCGTGTCATTCACAAATATTCCTTACAAACAAAATTCTCATTTTTTATTTTACAAGAAAGGGCTCCCGGTCATATGGCATGCACCGGGCCTCCCAATATTGTTCAGCCCAATGAATAGCGGCGTGGAAGAAAACTATTGAGAACCCCAAGGTTAATTAGTATCCAGTATGCTTCATGTCCATCTAAAGTAAGGAGGGGTGATTGGAGGAAAGCTCATGTGTTGTAAATCCAGTCCCTTGGTTATGAGTTTATATCTTATTCAGATCTGTGGCCCAAAGCATTGGTGAATTATCATTTAATAATTTACAATTTCAACTCATAATTGTATTGTACAGACTTTTAATTATTAAAGCAATAATATAAGCGCCTATATATATATAAATTTGTAAACATCCTTTATTTTATGTTTACATTATATTACTGAATGTTTATTGTATGTTGCAGGTATCCCGTCATTGTTAACATTTATGATGGGTCGCCTACAAATGCGAGCACTGCGTATTAGAGTACGCTGCAGATGATGCAATCTACCTGATCCCGAAATGATATAATCTAGGTTAGTTCTCCTAGATCTAGGTAGAATATAAAGATTAGAGGAATTAATCTCTATCCATAGGATATTATCATGTGTCATATCAAATTCCTCAGAAGTCTGGTTACTGGTCTTAACATGTTTTTTTTTTTTATATGTTCCTAAGGTTGTTTCCCTCAGAATCCCTTGCTTGTAGGTGGGCACAAGTAAAGCTACTTCGCGGTTCTTCTGTACCCGTTTCTTGAGGCATTGAGGCAGATACAAGAAATGTATTCTAGACGCCTAGTAAAAAAAAATGATTTATTTTGCACAGTTTCACACATTTAAAATAATCATGTCCTTACTAGAGAGTTTACATCGACGTAATATAAAATGGGAAAAAAAAGAAATTTACGGAATTATTTCAATTATTGATTTATAAATGCAAACTTTTTTTTTCTCCACTACCTCGTAGTTTTAGGCATACGGATACGGAGGTTTTCCCGGGCCAGGAGACGAGGGCGGGGGATTTTACACGAACTCGCAATTTTATTGTCTCCAACTTTGGTTATCAGGTTGCCAGGCAACGCGCGGTGCTGTGCACGCACGTTAGCCCTTACGGCCACCTCGCTCCCTTAATTGTAAAACAGTTTGTTCTAGTGACAAAGTGGTTCTTTGTCACGTTTAGCTTTATTATGTGAGCAAATATCGTCTCAAAAATGCTTGAAAAACATAAGTTAAACAGCCTTCTTCCTTCCCAATTTGTGCATATTATGGGCTGAAGACGTTATTTAAATTTAGATGGAAGTTCTTGACAAAATAAATTAATCTATCTTTATGTGTAATACGATGGTTTTTTGCAGAGTAGTTTCCCTTTTTCGGCTATCAAGGGCCATGGATTTTGATGAATGAGGTTTCAATCCAAAGGATATTTCTTAGAGAAATCACATCAATCATTGATCACAACCCCTCTACCTCCTCCAGAAATTTCAGAGAAAAAAGTTATAAATGAAAAGAAACTTTCTTTGCATTCTTACTTTTAAAAAATTAAATATAATTATGTTTCCAGGCATGCTTTTGAGAAAAATTGTGATGTCAGCGACATTGTCATCGATAGTATTTTCAATAGTCTGACGACCATCGATACATTGATGACATCGAACTCACTACAGTAATATAAACATCAATATACTCTTAAACATTTATATAAATTCTGTTAATTCTAAGGTGTGTCACGCTGACTAATAAAAATATTTAGTTTAACACTGGATTTGAATATATCAGCATTTAAATAATAACAGTATACAATGACACAATCAACTAATGGACGTATATCGATAAGGAAGTTAATCATTTAAAACGAAAAAAATCTGATAATACGTCACTCATCTTCAGTATTTCCATGGCAGCCGCCCAGGCATGGTGTGCTAAGTGGAGATGCCGAACATAGAATGATAACTACAGTATCGACAGAAACAGGTAGGTTAATTATTACAATTCTTAATTTGTATTCTTTCTTTCTACGTTTTACTTCGAGAAATGATTTTTTTTTGCAATAAGTTTGATAAGAGGCTCTTAGTTTTAGGTGCGATTAATACTCATCCTTATTAGCGATAACAAGAGAACGAATTTTAAGATAATATTATTCTAAAATGTTCAACAATATAAAAAATAATTTATCATATTGATATAATTTTCCATATTCATAATCACAAATAGAGCAAACGAATATTAATAGAGAAAAAATATATATATCAGATCAACTGGAGTTATAAATTGAAAAAATAAAGAAAATAATCCCTCATGAACACACATATTCATGTTGACTATGATTGATTTTCAAAATCATACATTAATATGTCTCGAATTTAATTACCAATTCAAAATTATGTATATATATATATATATATATATATATATATATATATATATATATATATATATATATATATTTATCTTATTTCAACCTACTCTTTGTTGAGTAGTTACATTCAACCAAGTTTGAACATTTAAATAGTTTATTTGTGATTAATAATTATTAATCTCACTTAATTATATACAAAAAGAAAAAATATTACTATATATATTTATTTATCTATATGTTATCTAATTTTCATCAATTTTCAAGTTACAACGTCACAAAAAACTTCTTATACCTTCTGATAATTACGATTTCAATTGAGGTTCAAAAATATCGCCATTGAGCTCGTTAACATTTTTGCTTTGTGTATT